CATCTTGTCATCTCTTCAGTTGTCAATGCTATTTAAATTTGAATTTCAAATTCAGAGAAATGAACGATCTGCTTCCTTCCATCTATCTCCTTACGCTATCTGTAGGGGATATAGGTATGAGGGACGGTTGGACTGGCGTATGTTTACGTTCGGCGGGGTTATCTTATCTGTGACAAAAGCAAATTAGGAGGAGGGGGAAGGGAAAGTTGAGGCGAAATGAACGTTACTACCGTTTTTTCTAGTTATCGTATTGACTTCAAAGTTTTTTCTAATGCTTAAATTTATAAAAATGTGTTATTGTTGTTTAAAGTTTTATAGGTCAAAACCTATAAAATATAGGTCTTGAAGCAGCGAAATATTGGAGAGCTTTCCTAAAGAAATTCTGCATGAAATCTGTTAAAACATGTTTACGCTTTGTCACTCTGAAACCGTTCACATCGTCATTTGCATCGTCATCGTCTGTGCAAAATATTGTGTTTCTTTTAGTTTCTGAAGGTATTGGGTAATGCATGTGGCATGACTTTCATTTACCATTTCCTTTTCTTTAATGTTACATTTTTATTTTACAAAAGCAGATGCAATAAACTATACACTCTCTGCTGCAATACATTTTTGAACCGATTTATTATATGTCAAATTATTTCGTTATCCTTCTCTTTTATTCTCGTCTTATGTGAAACGGGAAATTTCAACAGTCTGATCATTAAAATGGATGAATTACCTTTCATATACATCATCAGTAAGCTGGAGATTACAGTCTAGGTTCGTACAAAATGCTCTTCCCACGTACCTGTCATTCCAGCTCGACGACAGCGACGATGGACGAAGACTCATCAGCTCCCTCGGCGGGCCGGAATCGGAAGGGGTGACCTGGGCCGTTATTTCGATGTAGGGCGAGTCTGCGAAGGCTGCGCGCAATTCGCGGAACCACCCCTGCCCCTTATCACCCCACCCACCCGTCGCCGCGGGAATCGGATATCTTCACCCTCCGGTGCCGACCCCCTCGCCCCACTGCCCGCCCGGCAATAAGCACGAGGCGTGTCCACAATAAAACGCCGCCGTTTGCTAAACAAGTTCTGTTCCTCCCCTTCTTCTGCGGCAGCGGGCGAGCCTTCTCCTCTCCTCTCCACTTTCCGCCCGCCTCGCGTCCACGCCGTGCCGTTCTCTCTCGCCGTCTAACGAAGATCGGGAAAAGTTTCTTTATTACCCGGTCGCGGCGGCGGCGACGGCGTAGCAGGGCCCCTCCGCAGCGGATATGAAATGAGCGAGCGCCTAGATGCAGAAGAGCGGAGAGGCAACGGCTGGAGGCCGTGCAATGAACTCGAGCGTTGGAGCTGGAGGGATGGGAGGGAAGGCCGTGAGTGGTCGAACGTAGCTGGAGCGGGATGAGCGCACGAGACAAATTGTGGAGTGCGGAGGGGGGAGTCCTCGCTCGGTGATACCTGCCTCACCAAGTGGAAGAGAAGTAAGGTCTTGCGAAACTAAATATGCCAGGTGCTTGTGGCGAGATTTACATTAGTGGAATTTACGCGGCTGAGCGGGTGCTGCGGAGATTTGCTTCTGCAAATCTTTCCCAGACGCACGTCACCTTATCTTTTATTTCTCATAGTTAAACGTGAGTTCAAAAGATTAGAGCTGCGCTGGCATTTTTTTAGTTCATCCAGTAAGCGTTTTCTTGGCTTGTTTATGGTCCGAAGTAAAGAGGAAAGAAGGCACGTACAATTGCTCTTTCCGGATTGAATAGAAAAATGAAAAAAATCTCTGGGAGTTTACTACTTCTTCTCAAGTTAAAACTTTCTTTAAAAACACGTTGGATAATCATTTTAGCTCGTTATGCGTAGATCCTGGTTAATTATGTTACCCCGCATCTAATAGACACCACTGACAAAAAGAACTGCGTTATATGAAATGTAACTGAAAATGAAGTAAATTCCGATAATGATAGATTGAAGAGTGAATTTGCTGTTGTGATGGCGGCTGTAAAGATGTAGAAACAGAAATGGAACATTGTACATATTGAACTGGAATACTTTTCAGTATTAGAAACATTGTTTGGAAAAACAAAGTAAGATTTTGTAATATTCTTGGCACACTCGTGTCTGCATTCATTTGTTTATACTGCTACGTATTCGTGTTTTCATCATTTGATAGAACTCGAACAGCGAGTTTGAACGAAAATATTTATTGTTTCTCCTACAATTTGAAGAATTTTCACTTATGTACTTTAACAGAATTGAAGAAACGTTTATATGCATTTAATTATCATACAAGAAGAAAATGATTTGGTATTATTAAAAATGCAGAAGTATTATTAAAGATATAGATTTCATTTTCCATATTTTGCGTAGATCAAAAAAATTGATTTCAAGAAACTATATATAATCGCGAAGTACTATTGAAAAAACTTATCAAAACAGTGTTTATTATTTGTTTGTACAGTGCGTTTTTCATTTGGTATATAGTTCATATTGAACCTGAAAGCACTTGCTGAGAAATATATCTTAATTCGATTTAGGCTAGCTGTCGTTTACTCTGCGAGCTCTCTCCCACGTTTTTATCTCGATCATCACAAGACAATCCTTCTTTATTATTTTATCCGTCGGCCCGTTTTTAAGCTACTTGATATTATTTCATTGTCGATGTATTAGTGTTTTTCAGAACTTTTTCTTTCAACCATTCCCGCTCTTCTCACTGATTTCCTCGTTGTACATGCTATCATTCTCATTTATTTTCATACTTATTGATTACCAAACCTTTGTCTCCTGTTTCCGTAGTTCGTCGTTTGTTTCCAAAGAATTTTCATTTCCCAATCTCTGCCCTACAATAATTCCGTGTGGTTCGGATGGTATCCCCACGCCGACCTCTCCTTCCGCCTGGTGCACCACACGGCGGACATGCGACGCTTACCGGCCCGGCCTCTCCCCGCCCGCCTGCCTTCGGTCCGGCTGCGGCCGCCGCCTTTTTCGGGAATCCTTCCTGTTCCACCGGCCTTTGTACGCCAGCGCTCGCCGCCTCGCAGGGACGGGCAAGAAAAATGGCCCGTGCGCGAGTCCTCGCACTTCCTTTTCCTCTTCCTCGCCGGTCCTGTCGTCCGTCCGAGCGTCGTCCACCCGTCGCCCACGCCCCTGGACGGCCCTGCATACTGAGCGCGCTTAATTTGCCCCCTCTGCCGCCGCCGCCGCCGCCGCTGCTGCTGCTCCCCGTGGGCGGCGCGTTACTTATTCGCGTCGCCCGCGCGTCCGCCCTTTCATCTGCGTGACAATGGAGCGCACGCGTGCTCCCTCCGCCCTCGCGGCGCCCCGGGCGGCTTGAGCGACGGCCTCGGATGCCTCGCCCCGTGCTCTGCCGCCGCTGTTGCCTGCGTGCCTGCACCCCGCCTGCCGGGGCTCGCTTCTGTCGCTGCTGGCACATGACCTTCCGTACGCAGCCACCGCCTGGCAATGCTCCCCCAGGTCCTTAACGCCGCTCCCCCTCTTGTGGCTTGTGTAGTGTTCGTATGGCAGCTTGAATTCGTGGGTATAGTGTATACGTTCCACAAAATTCTTGAGATATCTGCCGTGTCAAATCCTAAAATAATTTTAGCCTATCTATTTGTTTCTACGGACTATTCTACCTTCCACCCCCACATTAACCCCATTAACTTTCAAGAAATACATCTGGCATGTCCAAAATAGAGCGGTGTCTCAAAAAATATATTCATTTTTTTCTATCCTATTTTTCTTATCGTCTCTCTATTGCTCAGTATAAGCTCCGCGACATAGTTATAATAGGCGTCGTGTACTGAAAGTGCGAGTTTCATTAATTTAAATAATATTGGAGGTATTTCCAATCAGTTGAACATTTTTTCGTTCATAAAATACGCTTATTAAATTTCCTAAGCACTCAAGATATTACATAAGGTATTTGAAAATAATTCCTTCATAGACGTGTTAACTATTTCCGTGTTCCATTTAAAATCCATTCTATTCCTTTGACTGTTGTTTCTGTATTGTAGTTCTTTAAAAAACATCGATTATACGCTTACGAGGTGTAGCCTGTGTTCCATTTCGTCTGTCAAAAACTGCGTCTTCTTAAAAAAAATATACAGAGGAGAATTATTTTCTAGTGACAAATTGCGTTGCATCTTTCTCCAGTGCATTGCCCGAAAACATTGATGCCCAGGACATACATCTCGATCGCATCAAGCACAAAGTGAGCTGGTACAGTTAAGCGAGAGGGCAAGGTTGACGTTTGCTTGATATCCTGTGTGTCCGGGCCGTCTGTCGTAGAGCCATGGGACGGCTGAAGCAGCAGCCGCCCCCACCGAAGCGCTGGCGGACAGGACTGCAGGGGCCGTCTCCGCGATGCTGCGGCGTCGTGTTCGCCGACGAACTGTGAAATTGGCGGCGATCTCTGGAATTCCGCGTTGAATTCCTGCAGTAATTACCATAATTTTCGAGTGGCGTTCTTCTCGACGCGGCTCTTTATCTCCCTTTCAACGGCGGTGCTTCGGGGTTGACGAGCGCGTCGCGTGGGCTCGCAGCCGGGGTGGAGCGGCGCCAGCGTGCCGTCCAGTTGTGGCAGCACCCTCCCCCTCCCCCGTTCGCGTTGCTGCTGCGTGCCGAGAGTATCTGCACCAGTTTCCGTCGTTTTCAAAAATGGTAATGTTAAAAAAAAATAATACAAAAGGCACCACTCTGATTCCTGTTAAGGCGAAAGATTATACTCAGAAGAAGAAAAAACAGTAAATTATCCCAAAGTAATTTCCGTTTTTTTATCCTTTCACTGTAAATTCAGAGTACGGTTCTTACTCAAATGTTCAAGTTCAGAATTCACGTATTTGTATGCTTTCCCACGAAAGCTACTTTTAGCGCAAAGCAAAATAGGCTCTTGTCTGCACAGTACCCAAGACGGCTCCTAAGGCTCGAACAGACGCGCGTGACGCTACGATCGTCCGACAAACATTGAGGTACCGTCAGGGGGACGCTCCACCGTCATTGTCGACGCATCGGCCGCTGCCGTTACTGACTTCGCCCTTCCCACACGCCACCGGCTAAGCTGCGCGACCACGCAGAAGAAATGCGGCTTTCGCTTTCCGCTACCGCTGCCGACGCTGAAGCTCCTTCCTCCTGCAGCCTCACCTGCCATTTGCCTGCGCGGCCTCGTGAAGTCTCTTGTCGACGTCGTGCCTTACGTACATCGCACCATCTTTTCATACATTTTGTCTCCTTTACTGGAATCTTAACAAGCAAAGTACGTTTTCATTAATCATGCTTTCTACCAATTCCACTTTCCCGTTGGTTTAGAGTAGAAGTAATAGCTTAACTTGTTGAGTACTTTTACTTCTTCCGGTGTTACGGAATTTTGCATATAAAGCTACCCATCCTTTGTCCCTCATTTTTAGTGACGATGACTCTTATTTTTTCACTTTTCGTAAACACCACAGCAAACATGTAGATATAGTTTATCTTCCGTTCGCTTCACTGCAATCGCTTCTACACATCCACAGGGTTTTAAGTGATTATGACTATCCCTTGTGGGTGTTGCAATTTCCCCAAACACCGTTGTATATGAAGGTCTGTGAGTTACATAAAGTCTCCAAAAGTTGTTCAATAAGAACGCCCAAAAGCTTTACTCAAGATTGCTACTTGCTAAAGATAGTCATTATTGGGTTCAGAATTGAACACTTCAAACTGTCAAGACTACATTAATCCTAATTAACTATCCATTGTACACAAACACTAGGAAAAAGTACCGATTGTATTACGGTTTTGAAAAAAAATTCAAATCACTCAGAGAGAAAAATAAGCTTTGTCAAAGAAATCACCAGGTACAAAAACATAATTTAGAAATTAAAGTGCAGCAAATAGAAGTCAGTTCTACGAATGTACAACTACTATTTTGAACTGAACTTACACATTTTTTTTATTATGTAATGTAATATCGTTGTATCAATATTGATTATGTACTGAGCATTACGTTATTTACTGGAGATGATTATTGTGTAGTCGCTAATAACACTGAGCTCATGACATTTATCCCGCACCATAAATATTTTGGAAGCAAAACAAACAACTTAAAATTTAAAAAAAAAATGTTTACTCATAATGTTAGAACACATTTGGATGTAATCGAATCAATATGTGCGACCAATTGTTTTGAATACTTTCTGTATAATTACAATTAAATATGTTTGGGGCGAGCATGGCCGTCGTGGATTCGCCCCTGCCCCACGATCAAGGCTGATTACCTTTGTACACAAAGATAACGTTTGTCTACAAGTTGTTTACGTGTAGTCGTAGACGGTGGTAATTATCGCGTGGACGCACATAACTGGTTCCTTTTAATCGACATTTTGCCGTTTGTAAAGTTACCTCGTACCTTCTACAAACGTGCGTTATTTGTGAAGGAAGGAAGGATTCTTTACGCGTGAAGTATAACGTTACAACTTCAAGGTCATCACCCGACTTTTAATACTTCCTTGTAATGCGCTCCGTACGCATTCCGCTGAAACATCGTAATGAAAGAGCTCATCGGATGAGACAACACTTTCTCGTCGTCGTGCGTTGATCGTGGTTGTGTCAAAATAATTTCTTAGCAGTTTTATAGTACTGTACTCCTTATTTCCCCGACTCTTCAGGCTTCTCGTGCCAGCCACCTTCCACCGCCCTTTGTGTGCGGAGGCTGTGAAGGTGTTATTAATCAGCTTTTTAGAACAAGCGCCGTTTGTATGGGAAGCCTTAGTCCGAGAGTGTTGTCGTTCTTGGAAGTAATTTTGTAAACTCTTAAAATATCGCAACTGCTTTATGGCATATTTCGTTCACTCCTTTGAATTGACAATACGAATATTTTCACTAACACAAATTTGTTAATATTTTTATTATTTTGCCGTGTCAGTAAAATAAATTTGTAAAAAAGATTAAGTACATAAGGGCCTGACAACGGTATGACTTGTCTTGATGAAGTGTGTTACAGTAGGCCAAGTACTACGTTTATGAACGTGTCAATTCAAACGGCGACAGTAAGATCAAGGGAAAATATTGACCTTTTTGAGAAAAATGCTTGTTATGAGTTGCGATCAGAACATGAATGGGCATTCACTCATGACCATTTGTTTACTTCAAATGCAAGCAAATCCTAAAAGAGGGCTATCAAGTTTGAGTATTTTCAGCTTTTTCAATGAGAGGCTGAATCGGAAAATATCGTTCACACGCATTTGGTGGAATTAGCAATGACACACCGATCAAGTGCTCTTGAACATACTGGAATAAGTTCGCTCATTTTTCACAAATTCGTTTGACCCTTTAATTACAGTTTTGTGGCGATTCATTGAGTTTTAAATCAGATCCCAGTGTTGTCTTCCTTTCTTTTGAACCACTCGAACGCTTCAACTGTTTCTACAACTCATAACATTCACTTTCCAATGAAACTAAATCAGTGCTCTTCATACATGTAAAACGCTTTCAACGAATTGGCCTGCGTGACATGACTCCGAATATAATTACATCCCGCTTCCCGTGGTAAATCTAATACAAATGTAATTCAAGTGAAATGAAAAACACTCCAAGCGCTTGGTTCGTAACAGATTGCAACCGATAATTGTCATGCGGGCGCTCATAACCGCATGAAATTGTCATGTGTGTGAGAAAACCCTTTTACTATACCTAATCGCCTGTGGACTGGAGATGATGTTCGCAACTCGCAGGAATGTAAACGAATCACCCATTAATGTTAAGTGTAACATTCATTTGTAATAATCATTTACATTGTGAATACATGAGGTGGAGAATTTTCAATCTTTTTTTTTCTATTTTGGCGGTCATTTTGATTTTATTTTAAAGTTATTGTCATAGTTGTTATTCTTTCGCTTTTACTATAACCAATCTGCACCTGTACATACGAACGAAGATACGTTGTTTCCTCTTTGAGAAATATTTCAAATCTTGAATTTCGATAATGATTACAGAACTAGTACTATTACTTGTGATTTTTCAGCATTGCAATTGGCTTATAAATGTGTACGATACACAGCCTTTTGTTGTATTCTATCACTAAGTAGATTTGTTAAAAGGTTTCGTAATAATTGCATTGCCTTAAAATTGCTGTTTCGTTTCAGGAAGTGAAGTTTTGTTAATATATTTCAACGTCCGCCCGTGGCAGAAACGATTTTGAAATTAATCCGAGTCCGAGGTTTTAGTGCTTTTATCATGATAAATAAGCGCTTGAACGTTCACCGTCCACGGAATTCAGTGGATATTATTCGCTGTCTGAGGTCGCTCGTCGCTTTGACGGAGCGCAAGCCGGTAGGGCTTCGCTACGTGACTGGGGAGCCGGCTCCACGGTGGGAGCCCCAGACTGACGTCGCCATGGCAACGACGACAGGCGACACGCGCTTGGGTGCTCGCACGTGCCCCTGCCGCGCCTATGCGGGTTCAATTTGCGCAGAATCAAGCTCACACTTTTAGGTACTAAGCACACTTTCAATTGTGACAATTCGGGGTGTGTTCGAAAATCCTACGGGCATAAGTCAGACAACTATATTTTTATGAGAATACGGGCACGGGTGGACAATGTGAAATTTTTACATGAAAGGACGCGGTATAAACTAAGTGCATGGGCATTTAACGTCACATGGAAATTGGGTTTCTCATATTTATTTAAGTATTTGAAATATCAATAACGGTTTCATGTTCCAAAGCATTATAGCATATAGTTCAGAACATTCCAGAAGCATTACATCCCTGTTGTTGGTATTGTGGTGAATTTTCGTTGGCATTTACAATGAAATTATTTTATGAGTCGTCATTGCCAACAATATTGTTTATTACAACAGAATCTTTCGATGGCTTAGACATTATCAGTTTTCTAGTACAAGAAAAAACAACATTAAAATGTGAATCGAAAAGAACATTAGAATAATTAGATTACTAATAATTTAAATTTTATAAAATAGAATTAACATTCTAAGAACTGAAAGAAAGAAAGAAATAAAGGTGTTAAATCATTTAATATTACAAGAAAGTGAATGAAATTGAATTTGAACATACGAAATTTTGAAACAGAAAACATGAAAGTGTAAGTAGAGCCGTTTCTTACCTGATGTAGGGAAGCCACAAACGAGGCCCAGGCGAGCAAAGGGCCCAAGTACCCGGCTGTGAGGTGAAGGAGGGTAATGGCTTGGGTGCGGTGCGCTTCTACTGTGCCGCCCCGAAAGAGTGCAGTGTGAGAGTGGTGTCTAATAATAATTTCAGTAGAGGAGAGCGGCTAAGGTTTATGTTTTCATGCAGTAAGTTATCTTTTAAATGAATATGGAGGTTTTTCGAAGTTAATCTGGTGTGATATTGATTATCTATTTCCAGTATATCTGTGTGTGGATTGAATGTATGGCCTGTCTGGAGTAAATGATTGGCAAAGTGAGATTTAAAGTTGTTTTTAAGCGTGTATATGTTCTTTAATTCTGGAGTTATAAGTTCTGCCTGTTTGACCAATATATTTGGCTTCGCAGTCAATGTAGTCAATAGACGCCGCTTTTTTCTAAAAAAGTCTGTGTGTTGTGTAGGGGATGGCATATTTTTAAGCTTTTCTGAGATATTAATGAAACTTTGATACCTGCTTTGTGAATATTGTGTGCGACTTTTTCTGAAAGGGTTCGAAAATAAGGTAAGCAATTGTACTTGTCAGGTGTTTGTTATTGTAGAGAGTGTAGTGTACATTTTTTGTTTTTGTCTGAGTATGTTGCGGCGTAGTATGTTGTTTATGAGTTCTGTGCTGTTACCGTTTGACATAGCAATGTGTTGTATAGTGTTCAGTTCTTTCAGAAAATGATCTTTTTGTCAGGCTTAGTAATCCGTGTTTCTGTAGTGAAAGACAATGTTTATGTTGAATAGGATATTGTGATGCGTTGTGGATGACAGTGTCTGTGTACGTCGATTTTCTGAAAATATTGAAAGTATGGTTGCTTCCAGATATGCTAATATTTAGGTCTAGGAAATTGAAATCTATTGTTGTGAAGAGATTTGAACAGCATTCATTCACGCGACAAATAAAATTCTGTGATCCGTCATTTCTTTTAGAAATGTTTTTTTAGTCGCCCTGGGCTTGCGGAGGAAAATGGCAGTAGAAATAACGATTCTTGATGTTTTGTGGAATTTATTTTAGTGTGTGTACTTGAGGTATGTGTGTGTATAAGGAGGGTGTGTCTGTGGCCTGTATGTTAAATGTACTGCTCCGGCATTCGCTTGGTATTGATCGGAAAATTCGTGATAAACTGCGGATCGTAGCAGTCGGCAGCCGCTAGAATTCTCCTCTTCTGAATTTGTGATTTCGACGTAACTGTGCAGCTATCTTCTGCAGGATTTCCTGGTTAGAGTCGCTGCAATGTCAACAGTTGTTGCCCCGAGCTAAGTCAGCCGGTCCGTTAGTTGTGCTTTCGGTTCAGTAGTTTTATGAATAGAGCCGTCTTATAAGCAAAAATAAAAATGTACTATTATTTTCATTGTTAATAAAATATTCTTATAAATAATACACTCGATCGGGTATTTCTTCTACCAGGAGTATCCGTGTTCTATCTTTCGCTACAACTCTTTTAGCTCCAACATTATTTTCGATACGATTGCACTGCCGTGTCAGAAACAGCCGCCGCCCGATATGATAGGCCTTACTTTCCTCTAGTTGCGTAATCTTGGTATAGCGGCACAGTAAATTGGAGTCCCCAGGAGAGCAGTATTTACCACACTAAGGAGGTAGGTCGAATTAAGCCGCTGTTTGGAGGAGAATTCTAGCGACTGGCTCCTCCGATCCGTGGTTTCTGCAATCAACGCCAGGAGAATATCGGAGCAGAGTCGTAACAAACGGGCCACGGACTGGGCACGATTTTTCTTTCCTCTTTCGTGCTCCCTCTGATCGACACGCCACACTTACACTTAAATGCACTACAAAACCATTCATTCGACCATTAGGGAGCTTGGAACTTGTCGCGGCTGGGGCGCCGGGAGGCAGCCTGTAGCAGGGGAAGATCGCCACCGGCTCCCGCGATAAAACGTCTTAGTCTTACGGGAAGAATGTCCTTAGCAGTTGACACGCCGGAATCACTGATGAATCAATTAAACGAAAATAAATATTTATTTCAAAAATAAATTGCGTGAGTGAGCGCTGGCTGGGTTGGCTGTGGGCGTCAGTAGGCGATCCGTGGCGCCAAGTAGGTGCGGTCGCGCTGGTGCCTGTAGGCGTAGGAGCGCACCTCGGGCACAGCGCGCATGTGCAGCACCTGGCCACATTGTTACAAGCTCCCTAGTGCTTCTTGGGTGTCCGCATTTGAACTGCTGTGGAAATATGCTTTAGGAATTAAGGTATTTGTTTAAGAAATAAGGCATTCTGCTGATTGCCTATTCAGATGATTTTGTTAAGATTTAATGTTTTCATTCTAGCTGTATTTGATAAGGAAAGATTATCCAACAAATCGCAGCCAAAAGATTACTGATAACAAATCACAAAAATAAATTGAAAAATAGAATTCATTATTTGACGTCGGAGGCTTCCGCGGCCAGAGTAATGATCTGGGCTGCCCGAGTGACGCCGCGTTGAACGCTGGGTTGCGGGTTGCCGACGTTTCCACCACCACTCGTGTTCTTCCTCAGGGCTGGTGGTGCGAGAACACGGTCGAAACGTCGGGAACCCAGCCGTCTACGCGGCGTCACACGGACAGCCAAGATCTAGAATTCATTACTGTTTTCAGTTATTACGTGAAAACCACAAATCAGACCAATTGAAAGATAGAACGAGCTCTGGAAAGTAAATGTGTCACAATACTGCAAACAACAAAATTCTGAAATGCATTTACTTCTACGCCTGCTTTTTTGGAAATGATTTATAGGCGAATTTCCTCCCAAGGCACAAAATGAGACAAGCGTACTTTTGATGGGCGTGGGGCAATATCATGATTGGCCACACGAACCCCAACAAGCCTCGCGCTTTCGTTAATGTCTTGGTCAAGATGTGCTTCATGTCGTTACTGCCCCTTGCATTTCATAAATATGATCTCGGCATATGTAGTAACAAGATTATACAAATACATATTATACTTTCGTCAAAATCAACATATACGAGCAAGAGGACACTTGCTGGGAACGGATTGGTATGTCTTGTTGCAGACCCAAGTTAGTGTTTCACAGTTAACAATTGAAGGCCATGTCAGTGCCACACTTCTTTCTGGAAAGACCAGGCCTATCAAATAAACAGCAATTTGAATAAAAGTATGTGTAAAGTGCTTTTAAAGAGTTAAAGGGTGTAAAAACGTGATAACTTAAAATATATCAATTGGACTTGTATGTTTTACCTATTGCAAACACGGAAATATAAGTGTCAACCTTCTGTGGTTGGAGATGACCTTGTTTTAAAGCGTTCTAAACGCGGCGGCGGTGTAACGGTTGGCGTATCGGACGGTTATACCCAAGTTGGCGGGTTCAAACCCGATCGAAGCCGTGGATTTTTAAGGGCGAAAAAAATCCTTCGTACGCTTTCCTTCGCAGGGGAAGTAAAGCCGGCTGTCCCATGTTAGTAGATATACTTGCATGTAAAAGATCCTCAATCCTAAATGACGCCTCTGAGCTAAATTCAAAATCACCTGTTTCTCGTCCAAGAAATAGTCCAAGAAAAATCCTCCTTCCTCTGGTAGTTGGTGAAAGGAGCGTAGCGAAATTTGCGTGGTCAGACGGAAGAGCGGGCCTGATGGCCCGAGTCTCGCCACGTAAAATAAGGCATTACTTCAATTCAATGAATTCAACCTAAATCATTTTAAGCAAGTGCGTAGCCACAGGCCATGACGGCAGCGATTGTCGTAAGGGCTGGCACCTGGTCCGCTGTGGCGTCCAGGCTGAGGCGGCTGGTGCCGTTCGCCTCGGGCGGCGCGGTCGCGTGGCGCTTGACCAGCGTGGCGGCCACGGCCATGCGCAGCCGCTCCACGTCCACCACGCGCCGCCGCTTCTCCATCAGGTACTCCTCCAGCCGCACCAGCTCCAGCGCGTCCCAGTACTGCACGCCGGCCACCACGCCCAGCACCGTCACCACTGCGCGCCGCGCCCTCGTAGCAGATTTACGCTCACCAGATCAAAGGAGGGGACGATTGCCATCCAGTCGGGAGCGCCAGTCGTGGACATTTAAGTCGTAACTAAGTTCCCGTTTGGACGACAAGTGCCACCCCCCTCGTCCACCTCACGACCTTGAAGTGGCACTGTTTTAATGGGAGTACAGAAGAAAACGCTTTAAAATGACCTTAGTTGAGTCCAGTATCTTATTCATAATTGTGTATTGGGACGTTAGCTAAAATGAATGAAAACTATTTCAATTTGCCAACGGTTTGGAATATGTACTGATTTCGTCCTGAGGGCTGGGAACATGAAACCAAAAATTACTTTACAATAGCAATATGTAACCGTAAACACTACTACAAAAACTACGAGACAAGTAACTGTTCATAGGTGTACGTATACACGACGTAATTTAAATATATCTTACTAGGTTTAACACGACATCTCATATGATCCGAGTGATGTTTCCTGTGATTCATTCATTCCTAGTAACATATACTTCCACGAAAATAAATTCACTACTAGAGTAGTAAACATGCGTATTGAAATTTGAATCTATTTATTTTCTCCGTGCCTGTGCGTGTTAAATAGAGGTATCTCCATAATGAGCAGTTATTTTACTAGTACATTCTTTTAGAAATAAATGTAATGATGTAGAGTAAAGAAGCCTTCATTTATCGTTTACTCCAAACAGTGGAAAATAAACCATACCTGCCTACCAAATTTTAATGTTAGATTATATGTTTTAAAATTCATAAATTTAAATATTTATAAAGATGAAATGTTCAAAAATAACTAACTCAACCCAACCCTGCAAAGCGGATTGGTTGGAAAAACCTCAAGCTTTAATTAATACACATGTTATCTGTTGCGGATTTTTAATCGAAGTATTAGAATAAAGTTAATAAATACGCATCATCTTCAGGCATTGTTTAAAAATATTTCTTTTAATTCTTTATAGTTTCTAAAATGGGAGATCTCCCGCCCCTAAACTATACACCTCCTATGACCTTTTTCTGTCCGCGACCGTTGGTGATGAGGCACTACCCTCGTAAGGTAGAGACAAACCAGCTGTTCATGGTGTGGTGCTGTTTTACAGACAACACAACCATAAAAATTAAGTAAGACCCGATTGCTGCTTCACGAAGTTTCGTGAACCGTTGACATTGTTTAGAATCACAGATGAAGCCATGGTGACGCATTATAGTATGTAGGTATAGTATGTGTAGTAATAAATGAACAGCAGGGATATCTCGTGCAGGATTCTTCAAACGAAAGAAGACATGCCAATACTATTACATTAAATGAAACACATATACAATAGATTACATGCAGATGTAAACGAAATTCGTTACCTTTGCGGAATCGTAACTGGTAGAAGAACTCTGTAGGCTAGATCAATGAGATATTCGTTTTTACCAAAAAGTGTTAACTTTAGTGAACAATCAATGTCCCCCTTATATTTCGTGCCTCTGAATTCCATGACCTAAATGTTTAATATCACTGAAAACTAAAAATTCTATGGCCTGACTGTTATCAAACGAGTCCTGTGAAGGGACCGCAAGAATAATACACTTTCTCTAGACAAGCCCTCTTCACTGGCTGAAAATCAAAATGCTTTGTTTAGTTATTGCACTGTTTATCGCCTTGTGCTTGCACTCAGGAGGAGCCTGACGCTGTAATTCATTTAATTCCAAGAGCTGAGGAGGATCGGCTTTCCTCAAGCCTTATAGAGGCATTAAAAAACGTTTCCTCTTCTTGCCGCTGGAGCGTTGTGACATAAGAGCCATTACTACACGAGAGGAAGAAAGCTGAGAATTCCTAATCAAAGCAGTTTGTAGTTTTCGCGTCGCGTAAAAGCGCGCACAGTTTAAAAACTCGATCAAAGACTTTCTGATCACTATGAACTAACAAATAAACTTTTCCCCTCATATCAGAGAAAGTATTATATTTGGAAATTACATCCAAAAGAAGAAAATGTATAAACTAATCTCTCTTTTCACACCCTGAGAAACCGACCCTGTGTAGTAATACGTACCACTCGTCAGACCTAAACCAGTCCAACAATTCTTTACACAATGGAATAAATATATCAAAATGTCCAGATGTAATGGCACCAAGTGACATCCATTTGTTTATGACGTCACATATCCATACGTGATCGTTATCAATCGCTGCATATCTTATTGCTTTTTTAAATTATAATAATGCATAGTCTCATTCGGTTTATGGTGTGGAATACCTTGGAATTAGATATTAAATGTCACATTTTTAGTCTACCCAGCATTGACTTAGTGTCAGTATAAAGCCTAATGGTGTAGGTCGCTGAAAGTAGATCTTGTGGTTCTTCAATCGTCAAAATCTGTTGATTGGTTAAATAGTGAACGTGCGCGAAGAAACGCTTTTTATATACTATAAAATATGACTTTCTTCCTTCCCACAATTCATATAAAAGTTGGCTCTCGGCCCACAATTAAGTCTCGTAAAACGTTTAGTCCAAAACGCATGGACTCTATGAACGATTGGTAGGCACGTGATTGCGATTGATTCCCTTTCGCAAATGCCCATTTATCCTTATTCCAAATACGCGAATTCCGAGAGGGAAGGAATAAGTTTGGCAATTAAAGGTGAAGATCTGGACGATAGAAAAGCACAGTATAACAGTGCTTCGTTTCACACAATGTCGAATCCATAAAGAAATATTGGGAAACACTTCCGTGAGATGTTCCGACATGTAACATTCTGATATGTAACGCTCTGTAATAAGTTATTAAGTAGGTAGTAGTAGGTAAAATATGTAAGAATGTGTGAATATACCAAAGTATGTAAATATATTGAGATGGATTATTCTGGATTATATAAAAAAATCACAAACGTTTATAAGGAACGCATAGGTGAGGAACTCTGGAGGTCAATAATGTAATGAGACGGAAAATAATATGTTAATTTTAAGTGTGGGCATGAGAGGTATTTTCTTGGATAACAATATGATTAATAAATATAATTAGGAAAGAGAGCGAGACCGGACGTCAAAGAGTAAATGCAGTGATAGGTAAACAAGTAAGGAGCACGGACATTAGGCAATTGAAGGGGATGCGCAGAAACTATCGTGAAGGAACGAATTTGGGTCGTGATGGCCTATTTAAGAAGACAAATGAAAAGCAGGCCTTGCCGGACAGAATGTGCTGAGCAGTGATAAGGTACAGAATGAGTTGAGCGATGCTACAGGACAGAACGAGCACCGCGAATAGATCGAGTGGTGATGGTGAAATTGTTAGCACAATTAATTTGCTAGAGATTTGTTTCTTCTCCGACGTTTAAGAGTCTACTTATAATAACGTTGGAAAATGTAGAAAACCAATCGCAATTGTGGTTAATGTTGAAGAAATTTCGAAAGATTATTTAGAATTTGGTAAAGATGGAAGCAGAATGATATTGTGCTGGTAATATGACGTGGCATTCCAATTTGTTCATATTATATTTATCAGTAAGTGTTCTTTAAATAATATCATTTGAAGTTTCTCAACAGTTTTCTGTGAAAACTAGCTCAAAATTCCACATGCTCAAACGCAATTTTCTCAAAAACGGATAGTCCTAATTGCAGTGTTTAAGATGACATAGAATTAATTTTGCTGTGTTTTTTTAATTACACATATGAAATTTTATGTAATAGTATGTGCTTGAACGCCATTTTCGTAAAAACGACTCCAAATTTTTCAAAGACAATTGCCATTTATGACGAGATTTTATTGTTCTTTAATATTCTTAAAATAATATTTCCGTTCTACTATTAGCCAACCGAAAAATTGAGGAAATTAAAAAAAATAGTGGCAATAGATGTCAAATCCAAATAGCTAGCCGATACCAAAGAAAATAGAAAAGTAATAGGGGATAGTCTGTGCCATTCGGTAGCACCACTAGTTCAACTTACAATAGAGTTTTTAGTATGGCAGAAATTACTATATTGAAATAATACGTAACTTTTCAAAATGCGAGAAAGTATGTGCTGCTGTAACACCTCTAGTGTACGTATATGCGAAGACATCTCATTGGGCTTATGTGCTAGCTTCAATACTTTTAGATACTATTATAAAATTCAGTGCATGAATTCTGAAAGACTTTGACATGCAGGCAGGAAATTAAAAATTTTGATGTGAAGTTAACCAACATACAAAAAGTTTCAAAAGGAAGTAGTTTTTGAAAAATGTTTATTATGATTTATTATTATGTTATCGAGCTGTCGTGTTTGAAGCGTTGCATCTTTAAAGCCCATTTCCTGAACGTTGATATTTTTAACACTAAATCATCTTTTTTCATGGACAGTTGTAATAGGGAATTTTCAAGTGTTATAAGTAAAGGTCTGCATTACCTAAATAATACTTTTTGATTACCTTGGTAGTATCTATTCTTCAAAACTGTATTTACTAGAAAACACTGAAAAATATTTTCTCATAATGCAGTTTTTAATCTACAGAAATAGTAAACATTTTTTAAAACCAATGTTTCAGTGTTATTGTTTTAGTGTATATATCGGTAACATGTAAAAATTTCAGCTTCTGATAGTTAGACTAAAAGATTTGACGTTGCTAGGATAGGGCATTCCGTGTCCCCTTAAGTTTAGATTAGATAATAAGCAAAAATAAAACAGGGGAACATGGCCGTGAATGAATACAATAATCAGATCATGCATGTGTTTATAATTATTAATGGATAAATCAACTTCTGATAATATATATGGTTTTTATTATTTTGTCTTTGTTAGCAATTAAAGTGAGGTTCGGAATTATAGAGAAAATAGTAAGAAATGGAAATTATGATGTTTTTCAAAAAGACGAACATGTTTAATTTTTTGTTTATTTCAGTAAGTTAATTTAAACGAGTTAACTATTTCTTACATAGTATTTCGTGCTTTAAATTCTGTGTTGGCAAGAATGTGGACCCATGATATAAATTTTCCCGTCACCCGCAACAATTCCGTTATTACAAAATAGACGTAATACGCAAGTCAGC